ATGCTACCTCTTTCTATAGAAGTGGATAATAATCAAGAGTTTGAGGTGGAAGAAGTCTTAGATTCAAAGCAAAATGAAAATAAATTAGAATATCTTATTCATTGGCATGGATATGATATTAATAAATACAAATGAGAGCTAACAAAAAAAATCTTGTAAATACAATAAGAAAATTGAGGCTTTTCATTAATAACATATGTCAAAAACTAGATAAAAAATAGCAAGATCCATAAAAGATGATGAGCACTCCTTGTGGAATTCATCTTTAGAAAACAAGGTAATATCATGGACATATGTATTTATTCCAATAATTATCTATATGATTAAGTAGAAGTAGATGAGTGTTGATTAATTCCATAATATCTTCTAAAAAAGCTTCTTAAAAGCTTTGTATATACAATTTTGACTTTACACATGTTTGTAGTTGATTAATCAATTAGAAACTTTGTCAATGTATTAACCACATGCCATATGTATTCGTAGCTTACGGAATAAATTAACTATGTAGAGCATATGTAGAAAACTTTTTGTACAAGTTAAGTCATATGTCTGGTAAAGTTAATACGTGTTGGAGGTCCTACAGATCATTGTTATATAGATCCTACTTAGATGGTATATATGAAGATTGGAGTAAAGCCTTCTTTACTCTTATTAATATCTTTCTAATTCTTAATCTTATTTCAAGATTTTCTAATCATCTTAGCTTTGGCAATAGCTATTATAATTTAATTCTATATTATCTTTGAGTGATTTTTTATTCTTTTTGAGTGATACAAGAGTGTATTGAGCTTTCAGTTCTTTGAGGTTCATGTCCTTGATAACATGTAAATCAAGTATTAAAGAAATATATAAAACTTTGTATTAAATAAAATCAAAACAATCTAAAATAACTTCTTTTAGCATCATTATATTTTTTTTTAATGACATGATATATTTTCAACTCAAAAAGTAATATCTTATGACATTCATAATTATTATTTTTTATATAGTAGCTTTAATTTTTTGAAGGTGAATAATTCTATTATTGAAGATTTAGCAAATATATTTGAAAGTATTTATGAAGTAATATAGATGCTACTAAATAATATTTAAAAATTCATATCTGATGTCATAAAATATAATGACCTATATTTAAAGTTGGTTATAAATTGTTGGTTTTCTTTTCATTTTTTTTTGTTTTTTTAAAAACAAAATTAATATACTTGCATATTGGTTGTAATCACCAAAGTTATAAAAGATTCATTATACTTTTCATGTTTTAAACCAACAAGACAAACAATACATTAAAAATGAAACAATTACCATTTCAAGTTAGAAGAAATATTAATAAAAAATACAATCTAAAACAAGCATTGGCTTTAAAAAAACTGAAGTAAGCAAAAATATTATATATACTTATAAAAAATATTATTATCAAGCATATAAATAATTTATAGTTTATATTATATGTTAATTTAATTGGATTTTTAAAGTATAATTTATACAATATTTCAAGTCATAAAAAAAATGGTTTTCAAATTTGTAGAACCAAAACATATATATATATATATATATATATTTCTTGTATTGTGGTTTTTTAATAATTAGAAAATCATCTACTTCTTTATCTATTTAAATATTTTTTAAAGTATTTTTTTAATGCTTATGTTATAAGTCCACAAAGAGTGGCTGGATAGTTTTTACAATTTTTTTTTCACATTTAAAAAACAGGATTTATTATTTTCTAATTTTCTTATTTTCTTGAAATATTTAGATTAAATTAAGGAAAAAAGTTCTTTAAAAATTCACATACAAATAATAAAAAAAAAAAATGGTATTTACATTCTGCACTAAGAAGACATATATATATATATATATATATGTAAAACGTTGAATAAAAAATCATTTGACAAAAATATCATGTAAATTAGTTACAGTCCATTATGATTTTTTAACATTCTTAAAATTATGTTAGATTAGAAGAAATTTGATTTTTTAATTTTTTAACTATTAAATTTATTTGTATAATTCTATTATTTGCAACAACTACAAAGGTTTTTGAAAAGTATAGTCTATCACAGTGGCTCGTCTTTTCTTATAATAGATTCCAACATTTTTATTTTCCACATTAACTTTTATTACTAAAAATTTATATAGTCTTTACTATGTCTTCTTCTTATTTTTTAATATCAACACAAGCCAAACTCCTAAAAGAAAAAAACTTTCAGAAAGCTTTTGAATCATGGTCTTTTCAAGTATCTCTTAAATATATTGACCTTTCATTGTTCTTAACAAATTAAAAATATGTGTACACAAAATCATAATAATAATCACTTACTCACAAATATTTAGAAATTAGGTAACTTTTTTTTTTTTATGTTTTTTTAAAAATAATATGTCGTCATTGAAATTTTAAGAATTTGTATATGTAAATGATTGTAATGCTTATTATTTGACTGGTAATTTTTTAGTCACTTATTTTACGTAATTACTCTAATTTCTTACCAGTATTTAGACAAAATAAGTTAAACTCTTTTGCAATATAATAAGTCACTTAAAATTTATGTTTTTGTATGTTTCCTTTTTAGCACTTCATTTTTCTTTGATACAATAATAGTTTATATTGATTTATTTTATTTTACATGTAGAAATTTAATTTCAAATAATGAAATTATCAGCTGCTTTAAAAATATATTTCTATTGTCTACAGTAGATTGAAGTAATCATTTTATGATATACAAAAATGAAAACTGGTATGGAAAAAAATTAATATTAATAAATTAAAAAATTAACTTACAATAACTTATTTCAAAAATTAAAAAATACTAAACACAAACATAGAAATTTCGAGGTAGGTATTTTTGTTTTCAAGCCGATTAAAATTTATTGAATATTTTGCAATAATAACAAAATCACTACTTGCCCTTCAATATTCAAGTTTTTATAGATTTCTAATCTTAAAGTATAAAAGTATATAGAAATGCAATTAAAGAGCTAACAATCTTCTTATGAAATGTACACAATTTAGGTGTCAAGCAAGCTATTGTTTAAATCTTTATCCCTATAAGCCAACTTTGAAAAGCTATAATATAAATGCTTTACATAAACCTATTGCATGCCTTAAAACAATCAGTTTTTTATAACCTCACCTTTCAGAAATAGTGGACAGTATTGCCAGTATTGTTCTATTCGTGATGTGTGCTCAAGTCATTGCAATACCGGGAAAACGTCTGCAATCCAGTATTAAAATGTGGTACTAGTTTCCCTTATTTGCTAGATGGGTGGCAACATTCACCAGGTGTAAAGGTGTACATAAGTCTAATTAATTAATCTTCCAACTGAATGGCATTCCAACAAAGGACTTCTGTAGGCCATGTCGTTTGGTATGTAAGATCCTCGAAATTAGAGGCTATTTCGTATATTTTGAAGAGGAATTGTAGCTTTTGAAGTCTGAGATACCGAACTAGACTAATTACGCCATTGATATTATCCCACAGGATAACATGTGGCTCTACAGGTGTGTACATATAGTGAGCACTGCACATTGTTCATCTTCATGAATATTTTATAAGTTATTATTTAATGAATTCCTCAATAAATTACACGGTTTAATCCTGCATACACAAGTCACACAAGTTTGGAGCAATGACGGAGAACACTATCGCACTCACACGCCACAACGCTCGTGATATTGAGCATGGCTCCCAACAGTTAATTACGAATCAGCATCTGATCAGAAATTGAGAATCACTTGAATATCTTAATCACAAGTAGCGAAACCTCTATGCTAGTGATGTGTGACCCGTATCTGTCTGCAAAGCAGAGCTTGCGCAGTGCAGTCACCAGAAGCCAACTTATCTCTGTAAGGAGCGACATCAGGGGTAAACTTCAATCTTAGACAGATATCCCATTTTGAGTGCTCCATGAAGATTCGGATAAAACCATTGTATTGCAAGGAAAAGAGAGGATACTGTAACATGAATGAGCACAATCAACATAATCTGTCTGTCACGACGAAACCTATCAAACAATACACTTCAAAAAGTGTGAGCCTGAACAAACCCTAGGCAGAAGCGCACTGATTGATATAATGCCACCAGAGCTCTGAAATACATCTGCACTAAACTGAACTAGGCGCATTCTATGGTGATCAATTTGGCACTTTGTATCGTTGATTCTGTACGGTGTCCAATTCACATCAACGCAAACGGAATCACAGCACAATGTGCAACGATGAAATCAGCACTCCAAACCTGCGCTCCTCCAGAAATGACGGTAACTCAACTCATAAGCGAGGTCCAAAAACCCTAACCTAAACATTCGATAAATTGTTTGAAGCCGACAAAAAGGTGCCTGCATAGCTTCTCGTCCTCGCACATCAACGCACACAATAATCAGAGCAACAGAAACCTAACAGAGACCTGCGTGAAAGTCCAAGTGCGAAAGCAGCGCTCACCCGCTTGCGGGAGTCGTAGAGCTTAAACTACAGCGCGAGCTTCTACGCAGTTTCTAAAGGACTGACCCCTTGAAGAAAAATAGGATACTGCTGAAAAACATGACAAGCTCTCTTCTCTGCAGTAGAACTGCTCCTTCAATCCCCGACTTGTCGATACTCCTACCGCCATATACCCTAATAAGTTAGGGAGGGAGCGACCCAACCCGGTATCTTTCCGTTGCAACCACAATTGAAGCTATTATCGATCTGCGGCTCAAATGCGAATGTTGAAATGAACAATTGCCCAACTTTCCCACACACCCACATCCACATCCCTTCTACTCATGCTCACCATATCCTCCATCCTTTGCCCCTTTTCACGAGCAAAATCTCATCACAACCCCTCGCTAACAAACCTCTCCATCAATGAGCTAACGTAGCTCACAGAGCATTACAATGAACCCGGCAATTCAATTCAAGCTCATCATAGGTCACTGATGATCAATCTGTTGCGAGGTGATCAATCGATTGACAAGCTATTCCGTTGCATTAACCCCTCGCAACACTGTGCAGAATGCACAAGGCCGTCTTCCACTTCACTTGAGAAATCCATTAGGGTTAGGGTTAGGATTTTGAATATGCGGATTGCTTCGTTACGTACGCTGCAGCTCTTGCGTTACCTTTGTCAGCAGAAGTCAATGGCGGGTACTCATACCCTATAATGTTTTGTGAGTAATACTACGAAATTTCTCTTTATATTCAAATATGTATACACATTTCATTGTATGTGAAGTAGAATCCAAAATGTCTGTGATGCCACACTAGAATACAAATGATAGGAATTCAATTTGTGTTTTTCTAGGTTGAGACTGATGAATAAACGTGGGTTAATAAAGTCAATTGTACATATCAAGTCAAATACAACTATGATGATAGTGAGAACCAATCATGTGTAGATGCATCATTGATACCAAACAAAAGCATGTGAGAGATTTTTTTAAAACTTATATATCATCAATATATTAAGATCGCTCAACTAGACAAGTACAAGGAGACAAGTGGTGGCTCTCCTTCACTGCATGCTCCCCACTTCGTTTTCATCAAAAAAAAACTTCACGTCATCTGGAGTTTACAGGCCCTTAACAAAACTGATTACTTGCTGTTTCGAGATGTTAATGTGTTGTGTCGATATGTTCCATGTGCCGCCCCCCAAACTCAAAGAATTCTTTTGCATTCTTTTTCTCGAGTGATGAGTGAATGGGAGAGCAGGTGGTAGTCGCTATGCGTTGCAAGTAGGTAGAGAGCTCTATACGATGGTATTGAGCTGCTACGTTTGGTTGGCTGGTTGGCTGGACGTTGTCGTGTGTGGTCATGTTGCAAAGCATTGAGGCGAACGCTTGATGATCCTGAATGCTGGTGCTGCTGGGAGTGGGTGCAGCTCCAGCTCTTACCGCGGTGTTGGAAACTAATTCAGTGCACACCTCAGGAGGTAAGCCACCCTAGGCAGAAGCCACACGTGAGGAAGTCCAGCAAGTTTCTAAGTTTTTTTTACATTAGTTTGTTTTATGGTACTGATTTTATTTGTGCCTTCCGTTGTAGGTTTTGTGCAGCTCCAACTCTTGCCGCGGTATTCATAAACCCTTAACAAAACTGAGATATTGATGATAACTTGCTATTTCGAGATGTTCCATGTGCTGCCTCTCAAACTCAGAGCAGGTATTACGTCACACGGGCTCTTGCTGCGGTGTTCATAGGCCCTTAACAAAACTAAGATATTGATGATAACTTGTTGTTTCGAGATGTTCCGTGTGCCACCTCCTACACTCAGAGCAGGTATCTCATCACACGGGTTCTTCTTCTCAGGTGATGAGTGAATGGGAGAGCATGTGGTAGTCGCTACGCATTGCAGGTGGATAGAGAGCTCTTTACGATGGTATCGAGTTGCTGCATCTGGTTGGCTAGTTGGCTGGACGTCGTCATTTGTGGTCGTGTGGCAAAGCATTGAGGCAAACTGGATGAATTTTACAAACTGGTTTATTACAAGTGAATTTTATTACTTGATGAATTTTATTGATTGATGATCTTGAATGTTGGTGCCGCTGGGAGTGGGTGCAGTTCTAGCTCTTGCCGCGGTGTTGGAAGCTAATCTAGTGCACACCTCGGGAGGTAAGCCGCCGTAAGCAGAAGCCACACTTGAAGAGGTGAAACACAAGTCGAGCAAGTTTCTAAGTTTTTTTTTACATTAGTTTATTTTATGGGTATTGATTTTATTTCGTGCCTTCTGTTGTAGTTTCTATGTAGCTCCAGCTCTTGTCGCGGTGTCTAGTGCACACTTCAGGAGGTAAGCCGTCGTAGGCAAAAGCCACACTTGAGGAAGTAAAACATAATTACACATGAGGAGGTAAAACACAAGTCGAGCAAGTTTCTAAGTTTATAAGTTTCTAAGTTTTATTTATTTTTATTTTTATTTTTATTTTTTTATATTAGTTTGTTTTATGGATACTGATTTTGTTTGTGTCTTCCATTGTAGGTTTTGTCAGATGATGAGAAGAGGCCATTGTATATGATCAGTATCAGTTTACAAAGAATTAAGTTGTTGACCAGGATATTTTGGGCCGGCTTGCTCCAGAGTAAGCAAATGAATTCATTTGCAATATTTTTATGACAATCAAAGTTCACTTACTCCAACCATGTCAAATTTATTTTTAATTCACGCCAAAATTGTACTTTACAAATAACAAGTTGCTAGTAATGGAAAGATCAATTAAATTGCAAAGCCTTTGGCTATCATCTTTCTTTCCTCTATAACAGAAGCTAGGATATTATTGTTAAATAAGGATTTATGTAGGGATTTTATAAGAAATAAAGTCATTTTATTAATTTAATAGTTTTTATCTTTATAGTTATATTTATAGTTTATATAATTTTCATATTACATTTATTATATGTTCATTGTAAACACAAGTTCTTGAGCAACAAAGTTTTATTGGAATATTACAAGTATTGTTAACTACATCAAGAATTATTGTACAAAAATTAAATTGTAAAAATTTCATTTCTTTTTGTATGAGATTTTTTATATTCAACTTCATATGTATAAATAGATATATATATATATATATATATCTATCTATTTGTGTGTATAAATAAATAATGATATATTATCTAGTAAATATGGAGATACAATTTTATAGAGGTACAATTTAGACGACTCTAATTTTATGGAGGTACAAGCTTATTCCAATTCTCTAGTGAAACCTGTGGCATTATAAATGGTAGTTTTAACAATGAATCGAAGAGTAATTGTTCAACGACAACGTAGGAAATGTGAGAGATCACAAAGAGAAGCCAAAATAGTTACAAGTACTAAAGCTATATATAATCTAGGAAGTATGAATGTTTTGTGTCTTTATTGAAACACATTACATTGGTTTGATGAACATTTAGCTCAGTTGCTAAGGAAGTTGCCATTATTTAGACAATGTTGTCAAGGAAAAGTTTCTCTACTATCTCTACTTTCTCCGCCTTTGCTTTAGAGATGCTTATTTAAGGACTAAGATGCAAGAGCAAGGGAGTTCCAAGAAAATATCTATCAATACAATGCTATACATGTGTTTATGTCCTTAGGTGCAAATGTTGATCGATCTATGCTTCAAAGAAATGCTCCATATAGTTTTAGAATAAATAGAGAGTTGCGCCATTTAGCAGGAGCATTGTTACTTGACTTACGCATAGCTCTATATCCATGATGCATCATTTGCACAAGATAGAAGAATGAGATGTAATTATGAATTATTGAGTCAAACTTTGTCGAAAATTAGAGAAGTTTTAAAGGAGAATAATTTGTTTATTGGATTATATAGATAGGCATATAAAATACTATCTGAGGTGCAGAATGAAGGAGTAGTAGAAGTAGATCTTGATGTTGCTTTGCACTTTATGAATGAAAGCGATAGATGCCAATATAATCTTTCCACCAGTTTTGAAGAAATTGCTATTATATTGCCTAGAGATGGATCAGAGCATAATATATTTTGTGATATTATTATTTGCCTACGTAGTAATGGATTATTAGAAAGGATTCATGAGGTTCATCTGGCATATTTGCCCTTTTATTATGTTCTATTTTTTTTGCATGGAACCTTTGGATGATATCTTGACTTAAGGGCACAAAATATAGTGATGGATATTGTTTGAGAAAGAAAAGATGCTGGACGAGGAGATTAGAGAGGCAACATCTTTATACAAATGGATTATTTTTCTTATCAACTTTTTTAAGGCTTACCAAATATTCCACAATTTTGTGTGGAAGAAAGCTATTACAAGAATTTATGTTTGATGGATGGACTGCAACTATGCAATTATATTTATGATATCTACGTTACAATCAAGGAAATCTACATGCTGATTTATACCAAGGATTAGTGGATGTTGTTATAACTCATCAAAATATTGGGCATAAAGAAAGATGATATGAATTAAATAATTTAGGACAAAAGATCTTACTTCCATCATCACATATTAGAAGTGCAAGACATATGATAGAAATATTTTAAGATTCTATGGCAATTACAAGGTTTTATTAGCATTGTGATATTTTTTTGACAGTGATAGTAAATCCAAGATGGTCCAAAATCCAAAATGAATTGCTTCAAGATCAATGAATAAGTGACCAGATTGATTTGGTTGCCCATGTATTTGAACTCAAGAGATAGGCAATTATGGAAGATATAAGAAAAAGAGTTGTCTTTGATCATATTGTTGCACATGTTTATACCATTGAGTTTTAAAAGAGATGTCTACTTCATATGCATATCTTGATATTTTTGAATAAAAAAAGCAAGATTAGATGTGTTGGAGATGTAGATCGTATGGTTTTTGCAGAATTTCCAAATAAAAACAATGATCAAAAGCTATTTGAAGTTGTTCTACTATGTATGGTACATGATCCGTGTAGAATGCAAAATCTCCAAGCACCTTGCATGGAAGTTGGTCATTTTACAAAGAGGTATCTAAAGGTTTTTGTAGAAGAAACAACAATAGATATTGATGGATATCCTCAATATTGATGAAGAAATGATAGAAGAACGTTTGAAATTTGAAGAATGGTTGTTGATAACATGGATGTTATTCTATTTTGTCCAAAACTATCTCAAAAGTACAATTGTCATATTAATCTTGAGGTTTGTGCATCTATTTGTGCTATCAAGTATATCCACAAATATATTTATAAGGGCCATGAATGCATTACAATGCAATTTAAAAACCAGCAAGACAAGATCAAATAATATTTGGATACAAGATATATTGGCGCTCCGAAGGCTATTTAGAGACTATTTGGCATGTGGATCCATGAAAAAATACCAAATGTTGTTCATTTGGCCATTCATCTATGATGAATACATCAAGTGGTATATGATCCAAATGACAAGGCAACTATAATTTTAGAACATGGTGAAAGATAAAAGATAATATTAACTTCATTTTTTGAAATGTGTGCAGCAATTGCAATTAGAAAATAATATACATACCAACAATTTTCACGACATTTTATTTGATATAAGACTAGAAGGATGTGGATATTAAGAAAATGTGGATTTGCTATTAGAAGATAATATTTTATAAATCTTGCAATAGAAGAAAGATATTATTTGAGGCTTTTGTTAATCCATGTTAAAGATCTACAATTATTTGAGCATTTAAAGACTATTAATGGAATTTTCTATCCAACATTTAAAAATACATGTACAACTTTAAAATTACTTGAAGTTGATAGAGAGTGGCAACAATGTTTGGAAAAAGCATCAAAAATACAAACTAGATCTCAATTGAGGGTATTATTTGTTGTTTTTCTATTATATGGAAATTTACTAAATCCATTAAACCTATAGAAAAGATTTAAGAAAATCATCTTGGATGATTTCAATGCCTGTTTGCAAAGAAAACATGGAATTAGCAATCTAATAGAGAAAAAAATTAAGGATTTTGGACTTTTCTTGCTGGATAAGATTTTGCAAGATTCCAACAAAATGCTTATATAGTTTCTTCTAATGCCATTACCAAGAAACAATTGAAATGCAATAGTTAATGGAAATCAATTTATTGCTGAAGAAAGAGCATGAGACATTCAACAATTATAAGTAAATTTGGAGTAATATATTCTACAGTTGAATCTTGAATAAAGAAAGGCATATGATGATATTGTGGCCTCTATAATAGAAGAATATAGATGCGTGTTTTTTCTAAACGGACTTGCAAAAATTGCTAAGATATTTATCTACAACACTTTGACAACTAAAGTTCGATTGATGCAAAAGATTGTCATATGTGTTGTATCATTAGGAATTGCCGCATTTCTACTTGAAAGGAGAAGAATTGTCCATTCTATATTCAAGATTCTACTAGATTATAATGAAGATTCTTTTTATTCAATTACTAAGAATTCCGACCATGTTGAATTTATTTATCAAACTTTCTTTATTACTTAAGATGAACTTCTAATACAACATCGTTATTATTATGAGGCAATTGATCATTCTTTTAAAGACATTTAGGATATTGATTGCCTATTTGGAGGAGCTACAATAGTTTTTGATAGAGATTTTTACCAAATATTGTGAGTGATTGTAAAAGGAACTTAAGAAGAAATTGTAGCAGCATCTTTTTGACATTCAACACTTTGGCCTCAAATAAAAATCTATATATTAAAAGAAAACATGGGATTGAATTTAGGAGCACTTAAAATAGATATTGAGTTTGTTAATTAGCTTCTTCACATATAGAATGCATACACGCATTGTATATATAGATGGTGGTGCATTTGAATTCTTTATGGTTACATTATTATTGACTAATATTTCTATTTGCTACTTGTTAGATTAGAAATGGTACAAACTTATTGCCCGATAATGTAGTTAAGCTTCCTGATTATATGATTCTTGACCAAAAATTAATGTTCTTAGTGTATGTTGTTTATCTAAGGCAAGCAAAAGATGATGTACTAAATGATGCCTTCTTTAGAGATAGAAACATTTTATTTGCATGGAATGATAAAGTAGAGGATATTAATGAGAAGATTATTGCCATATTTCTTAGAAAATAATAAGAATATCTAAGCATTGATGAAGTTATTGTTGAAGATGGTATTGACAACTATAATATTTATCTAGTCAAATTCATCAAGTCGCTTAATCCATCTGGAATGCCTAGATCAAGGCTCTGTCTTAGAATTGAGATTCAAATGACACTACTAAGAAATATTGCTCCTTGCTAAAGACTTTGCAATGGAACCCAATTGATAATTATATGACTAATGGATTGAGTTCTTGAAGCAAGAATTCTTAAAGGAAAATTTGCTGAAAACTTAGTGTTTATTCTACGGATTACATTAACTTCTAGAGAAAGCAATTTCTCATCTGTCTTATATTTACAATAACAATAAACAAATCTCAAGGGCAATCAATTAAGTATGTTGGTTTGGATCCACGACAATATATTTGTTTTCATGGTCAACATTATGTAGCACTCTCTTGATGCACTTCCTTCTATTCTATCAAGATTCTTCTTCTTAGAAATAATAATTTAAATTTCTTACTAAATATTATTTTCTTAAAATTTTTAATTACATAAACATTAGTAATTTATTTTTTGTATTCTAATTTATTACTTTATTAATTTATTAACTTTAATACATCTTTGAATGTCTTAACATACTTTTATGATTTAATATTTTATAATTTATTTTTTATTTTTTTATATTTTCACAAGTAATTCCTTGAACAAGATTAATTATCATTTTTGTATATTATCTATGACAATGACATGGATTTACCTATCTTATTTCATACCTAAAAGCTCTATTGTGTATTTTATTAATTTTAAAATTTTATTAGTTATTTTTTATTTAATTTTTATTTTAAATATTTTTTTAGAAATAATTAATTTTTTTTATAGTTTTTATCTTTATAGTTACATTTATAGTTTTTATTCATAACAACATG